TCCATGCCGAGCAGCAGCAGCTCACAAGGGCCTCCCTCCCCAGCTCGCAGGCGGCCGGCCGGCGGGCCCAGTGCCAGGCGGGTGGGCGGGGGCCCCTATGCCAGGCAGGCGGGCGGGTGGGGGTCGTGTGGCCCACACGTCGTGTCTCCCCGCCTCTCAGCCAGAGAGGGACTTTGAGGCCCCTCCACCTTGAACAAAACCGGCCTGAAGATGAGTCCTGGAACTCAGGCCCAGAGTCACTGTCCGGGTCTGCCTTGGGGGCGCCCGGGGTCACAAAGAGGGGTGGGGGCAGAGCAGAGCCAGGAAGCAGGTCCCCAAACCCCAAGGGAGGCTGAGCCAGTGTCCTGCCAGGCCCCTGGACAGGCCCGGGCACGTGTCTCCCCTGCACCCACAGCAGCTGCCACACCTGTCCTCTCAGGCAGTCTGGAAAGACTTTCCAAAAAGGACTTCCCCCCACCACCTTCATGTGCCAAAACTCTGAGTTTCCATGGCGATAGTCAAATTGCAAATCCATCCAAGAGGGGGGAGGTGGGGGAGGGGGAAGCTGGCCTCTCCCCAGAGAAGTGGGCATGGCTGGTGCTGGTTTCCATCCTCAGCAGCAGTCAGCCCTCCCAAGGCATGATGGGAAAATCCCGGAGATGTGTCAGGTCCCCCAGCAAGTGGTCCAGGGGCTCGGCCCCCGGAGGGGCAGGCCCTCCGTGCTCCCTGCCTCCTGGCAGAGCTGAGTCCGTTTGGCGGTGCCTCCCGGGGAAGCTCCCGGCCGTCTTCCTCCCGGTGTTTTCCCGTCTCCGATCTGAAGAACCAGGCGTGGGCAGAGCACAAGCATTCATCACCCAGCCATCCTAGACTCAACCTTTGGGGAACTGGAGACGGGGGGTTGGGGGGGAGGAATCAGCCTGCAGACACACACAGTGTTTTGTTGAGGATGGAGGAGCAAGGGCCAAAAGATTTATGAGCCTGAACGCTTTGTTAATAGACCCGGGAGATTTACGATGGCAGCTGCTGTGCGGGGAGAACGGCCCTGACGGCCATCGCATGGCAAATGAGCCAAGGCTCGGGCTTCACAAAGGCTGAGCCCGGCCGGCTGGCGGCCCCAGACAATGGGCGAGGGTGCCTGGGCCAAGGCCGGAGCGTCCGGGGGGAACGGGTCCTGTCGGCCGGTGCCTCTCTGCTCCTGACGCCTTTGTGAGCTCACCATCCTGGGGGGGTCCCTGTCTGCAGCCCTCTGGGGTCCATAGAGGAGACAAAGAATGAGCCCACGGACTGGAACTTGAGGAGGTCGTAATTTTTCCAAGCCTTGTGTCCCCACACCCACCTCCGGGGGTGGTGCTTTGGACAAGACATACCCCTCCAGCAAAAACTGCTCCCCTGTTAGCCCGGCACAGTCTTCCTGCGATTTACACCCACACCCATTCCGTCCAACGCTGTTCCCCACCCAGTGCCGTGACCAGTGCGGCCGATGACGGGGGAGGAGGGGGGGACGTGGGACCTGTGAGCTTGCCGCTGTCACCCGGGGCCTGGGACAGCCTTCCCGTGGTCTCTTCCCAGTTAGTGGTATTTGGTGCTTTTTGGCATCTGCCCATGAGCGGAGGATCCTGGCATTGTTTTAACGCCGTGGAGCCCCGTGCCCCCCCGCCCCGGGCTTATGGAGCGCCTGTGTGCGGGCACGGGAGAGGTGGGGCCCCCCGGGTCAGACAGGCTGGCTCCGGTCCTTAAGCCTCTCGGGCAGGGGGAGCCGCAGACATTTAAAAAATCGGAATCCGGCCCTCTGCCCAGGGTTCCTCCTGGGCCTTTTCCCCGTCAGAGGCCGGGGCCTCCGTGTCAGGGGGCCCACGGGGTTGGTGTGTAGTCAGTCAGTGAGTTAAAGATGCTTGAAATGCTTACAGAACCAACACCAACGAAGCCCGGTCTCTGTGGGATCACCGTCAAAGAAACCCAGCCCAGCCCTGGCTGGTTTGGCTCAGTGGATAGGGCGTCGGCCTGCGGACTGAAAGGTCCCAGGTTCGATTCTAGCTAAGGGCACGTACCTTGGATGCGGGCACATCCCCAACAGGAGGTGTGCAGGAGGCAGCTGATCGATGTTTCTTTCTCATCGATGTTTCTAACTCTATCCCTCTCCCTTCCTTTCTGTAAAAAATCAATAAAACATATTAAAAAACAAAAACAAAAAAAAACACTACTAGAACAATGTAAGTAAAGACAATGAGGCTCGCTGAAACCGGTTTGGCTCAGTGGATAGAGCGTTGGTCTGTGGACTGAGGGGTCCCGGGTTTGATTCCGGTCAAGGGCATGTGCATCGGTTGCAGGCACATCCCCGGTCGGGGGTGTGCAGAAGCTGCTGGTCAATGGTTCTCTCTCATCGGTGTTTCTGGTTCTCTGTCCCTATCCTTTCCTCTCTGTAAAAAATCAATAAAATATGTGTGTATATATATATATATATATATATATAAACCCAGCCCAGGACCTGAAAAGCAATGGCAAAGGAAGCCAGGCCTTTCCTGGCTTTTCTCAAATACTGTGGGCAGGCCTATGAACCACCACCCCTCCCGGGCCCTGTCTCCTCTTGATTCTGTATCACAAAGGCCCAAGATGCCTTCCCTGAAGGCAGAGGCATGAGGGAAGAGGAGAAACAGGGCAGAAGAGTTAGCATCCTTGAGCAGACAGGGAAGGGCCTGCTGGGACACTCAGGTCAGCATCACTCTTGCCCCACCCACCGGGGTCAGGCTCTGCCGAGGGAGAAGCACGGCAGCCTGATCCGGGGTGCGATCTGGCCCCGGCCGCGGGAGCCTCGGTTCTGCGGGCGAAACGCCTGCATAGACGTGTGCAGCAGACGTGGCTGGTGTTGCTGCAGCAGCACGCACAGGCGTTCAGCCAGCCGGGCACAGGTGGTGGGTATGGCTTCCTGGAGGAGGTGGTGTCCGTCTGAGCCAGGAGAAACGCGACGGGCAGGGCACCCTGGGCAGAGGGGAGTGGGCTGCTGCAGTTTGGCCAGAGCTCCGAGCTGGGGGGGCTGGCGGAGCCGGGGCGGAGAGCATGCTGTGTGGGATGAGGTTGGGCAAGTGGCAACAGTCAGGAGCCTGGGCTTGGACTTGCCGGTGATGAGGAGTCTTGGAAGAGGGACTTGTGTGTGTTGGTTGGAGCATCCCAGCTGTGCAGGGGGATGGGGGGGAGGGGCCTGCAGTAGGGCCAGGGGGGAGGTTATCCCAGGAATCCAGGCTGGAGGCCATGGGGCTCTGAGCTCAGCATTGACCCGAGGACCATTTAGGAGGTGAAACTGTCAGGACGTGGGGATGAGGGAGGAAGAAGCGCTGATGGGTCATCAGAGCTTCACAAAGCACCTACTGTGTGCCGGCCTCTCTGCTCTGGAAGCGCCAGGTTGAGAATCTCTTAGAGCTGAAACGGTCGGTCAGCTCCTGCTCCCTGCTGGCTTGGTCCGTGGCCCGTGCCTCCCGTTCGCTGGCAGGTGACACAGGTGACGGCACCAAGGCTTTCCAGAAAGCTCCGGATCCAGGCGGCAGCCACGTGGCACGGTCCTGCATCTCCCCTCCGGGGCCCGCCGTGGGTCTCCCCACCGACCGGGCGCTCCTCCCGCCGGGGTTAACGCAGGAGACCGCCTGGCCATCCCATCTCCCACCTCCTGGGTCCCCGCGGCTGTCTGGCAGGCTGGCTACGGGGATGCCCGCTAGGGAGCCAGCACAGTGCCTAGCAGGAAGAGCTTGGCCCCTCGGGGCCTCCCCCCTGGCCAGCATCTTGCATTCCCTGGAGTAAACACTCACCCCCTCCGCTGAGTCAGTCGCCTGGGAGCACCGCTGCCCTGCGGCCCCAGGCCTTCCTGCACCGTTGTACTTGCTCAAATGACATCATCTAATGAAATGTTATGTAAATCGATGAAAACGAGTCGGAGAAAAACACACACACAAACAGTTGTCTCATAAAAGCCGGGGCCTTGGGAAGCCTTGAGAGGAGCCTTGAGAGGAGCCGGTCGCTTAAAATAGCAGTGGGGCGAGATGTGCGCAGGACCGCGGCGGCGGGCGGGAGAAGGGGACGGGCAGGGAGGGGCGTCTGCCCGGCTCTGAGCCCTGCTCCGACGGGTGGACACTGAACCTGGGCATCACAGCCAGGCACACGCGCAGTGTAACTGTGAGAGGCCAAGTGGGCCCAGCCCCAAAGGAGCACCCGAACTCCCCATCCAAAGACTGGCACGTGGATGTACATTGCTATGCCTAACACTCAAACAGAATGCTTCCCACGTGAACACGCCCTGCAGTGTGACTCCCCCGGTAGCGAACCAGCCAGACACAGTCCCGTTCGGTCCAGGAAAGGGGATGACTCCCGCCGGGGGTATTCCCCGGGAGGGCGTTCCTCCCCCCCGCCCGGCTCCCTTCCGCGCCCACAAGCCCCCGCGGAGAGTGACTGGTGAACTGGGATGCGAGCGCAGACGGCTGGCTCCCCGTTTCGTCCTCCCTGGAATCGGAGTGGTTGGGATCACGGGCTGTGGGGCCGGTCTGCCAGGGCGGACATCCTGGCTCCTCTGCTCACTCCCTTTGGCAGGTGCCTCCGTGTCCTGGCCTGTAAAATGGGGGTAATGCCGTGTTCTGTCTGGCCGGGATGTTCTGAAGCTTCCGTGGGTTAGCGTGTGTCAAGTGCCTGGCGTGTTCTGTGAGGGTCCGCGGGGGCTGGCGTCGCCATGACTACCAGCACGGACTGGTGGCCAGGGGCAAGGCTCGGGGCGGCTCTGCCTTCCCCGGAGGGCAGTTGGCTCCCCCGCAGGGAGAGGGTGCCGTGTGGGACGGCTGGCCCGGTGAGCCCTCCTTGTCGGGCAGAGGGCGCAGCCCGCCGTCCCCACCCCCAGGGCCCTGTTCCCGTGCCCCAAGCCCCCGGCCCTGAGGGTCTGTGCCCTGGGTCCCGGCAGGAGGGGGCGCCCCCGGCCCGCTCTGCGCAGCGTGCCTGCTGGCGGTGGCCTGTCACGGTGACCTCCCTGCCGCCGTCTGTCCTTCCAGTGGTTTCCAGCGACAGCGACAGCGACTCGGATCTCAGCTCCTCCAGCCTGGAGGACAGACTCCCGCCGCCCGGGCTCAGGGACCTGAAAGGCAGCAGGTCCCGGGGGGAACCAGGTGAGTGCGGGGGCGCGGGGGTCCTCGGGGCCGCTCTGGGTCAGCGGCTCCTGAGACGTGGGCCCGGGGCGGGACGGCTGGGAGCCCGAGCCTTAGCACCTCTGAAGGGCAAGGCGGAGAGGAGGCTCAGCGGTGTATCCGGGGGGCGGGAGGCAGGTCCAGTGGCTGCCCTGACCTCTAGCTGACTCGGCCTGCGCCCCTGGCCACCTCGCCAGCGCCCTGGGAGCCTCCCAATGAGGAGGCCGTGACGGCCAGGCACAGCGTGCTCCGGTGTCGCTCAGCTCTGCCGTGGGGCTGCGGTGGGACCCCAGACACACGCTGCGGCCTCTGGGCCCGTTTCCTACTAGCTAGGCCAGACGGCGGCAGCAGGTGGTCTCCGCAGCTCCCTCTGAATTTCTCCCCTCTGAGCTCCCCTCTGGGACATGGTGTTTGAAAGAAGTCACTGGGGCCTGGGGCCCGTGCAGACAGGGCCTGGGGCACATTTTCCCTCCTCTCAACACACGAGGGGCCTTCCTGGGAGCAGGGCCAGCTCCGTTCAGAATCTTTCCAGAGGTTACAGCTGGGCTCTCTGAGGACAGTGCCCGAGGCCGGTTTCAGTGCCTAAGACGCTTCCTTACTGCCCCACTCGGGAGCCCAGTGCCCCCGCCCGCCGCCCCCCCCCCCCGCTGCCGCCGCCCCCCCCCGCTGCCGCCGCCCCCCCGCCGCCCCCCCCGCCGCCCCCCCGGCCCCCCGCACCGCCCCCCGCACCGCCCCCCGCACCACCCCCCCGCACCACCCCCCTCCGCCCGCCGCCCACCCCCCGCCCGCTGGACCCGCCCCCCGCCCGCCGGCCGCCCCCCCCCTGCGCGCCGCCCCCCCTCGCCGGGTCCCCCCCCCCGCCGGGCCCCCCGCCTCGGCCGCCCCCCCCGCCCCCCCCCCGCACCCCCCCGCCGGCTCCCACCCCCCCGCCCGCCGCCCCCCTCACCTGCAGCCCCGGAGGGGGCTGGGGCTGCCAGAGCCCCGGGGAAGGAACCCTGCTGGGACCACAGTCCGGGCTCCATCGGGAGGCCACGTGCTGGCACGCGGGCTTGTACTCCACCCCCGTGCCGTGGCGGGCGGGACTCGGCCATCGTGATCCGCTCCCCAGAGCCGGCGTGGCTCAGCCCCGGCAGCTCTCCGCGCGGCCCGCGGCCACCCGGGAAGGTGACGCAAGAGATGAAAACACCCTGGACGAGGCCTCTGTGGGCACCTCGGGCTAGAGGTTCTGTCTCAGGAGAGAGTGAAGGGGGCTGACTGCCCCCTCGGTTTCCAGGGCAGGTCCTACCCGCCCCCACCTCCCCCCACCAGCGCTCCTGTCCCCTCCCTTCCCGCCAGCCCCCGAGATGGCCGGGGGGCCAGCGGGCAGGAAAAGACGGAGTCCATGGCACAGGCCCAGCTCGGCCCCCTTGGCCCTGCAAGGACCCACAGACATAGCCGAGGCTCCTTGAGTTATAAAGGCAGCAGTGAGGACCCACTGAGTTCGCTGAGATGTAAACCCTCCTCCTCCGTCTTTGAGGCAAGAGGAATCCCTCCTGGTTGTGGACTTCCGTGTTGGCTCCTCTGGGCAGCCGCCTGCAGGCCCATCAGTGGCCCCAGGGTTGGGTCGTGCCCTGCAGGGTAAGGGGCCCTGGCAGGCAGGCCCCCGGACGCCCACCTCAGGTCCATACGAGAAGCTGCCCACCGGCTCGCCCAGGCTGAGCCTCCCTGTCTCGGTTTAAGGTCCGGAGGGCCCGCCCTGAGCCACGTGCGCTCACACACGGTCTCTTGCAGGTGGCAGCGTGGAGCACCCCAAGGTGGAGCTCACCCCCCCACCCAGCCGCCTGTCGGGGAGCCAGAGCAGCCTGGCCAGCGAGCCCGGGACCAGCTCTGCAGACCCACAGAGGGGCACCCCACCCTGGCCGGACCCCAAGGGCCCCAGTGAGTACCCAGACACTTCTTCTGCCCCCCACGACCTCTCCCTCCTCTGCCCCCTCTCCCCCAGGGCCCTCCTCCTCTCCTCCTCAGGCCCCCAAACCTGGAACGGAGTCAGCGAGGTTTTCAGTTCTGTGAGTTTGCTGAGCTCGGGGCCGGCTCTGCGGGCACCGAGGTGCCAGGCCCCACCCCGCCTGCAGCAAACAGAGAGGAACCCCAAATTCATCATGGAGACCATCCCCGCATCCATCCTCAGAGAGGCTAGCAACGGTTGTTACAGCCTCAGCTTTACAAAACGTGTGGCCTTGCATTTCCCCATCTCCATGACAGCCGCTGTAGCTCCCGTTTCGGGAGCACCTACAATGCTCCCGGCCACCCCGTCCTCACCAGGCCCATCGTGTGCCCAGTGTGGGGGCCGTCCGCAGCCTCCGCTTCCCGAGACAGGCGGCAGCTGGGCAGCCTGAGGCCGGGAGCCGCGGCGGGCGTGGCCAGGAAGTGGGCCCTCCCGCGCCCTCTGGCCTCTGACGCCCTCCACGGGGGCAGTTTGGAACCGAGCCCGAGTTCTCGTCCCAGCCCTGCCACTCAGCCACGTGGACCGGGGCAAACCATGGGGCTGAGCCACGTGACACTGCCTTTTTGTAGATCAAAAGTCGCCCAATGTCGGCAGCTCGGTCCGGTTCAGCCTCACGTCTGGTCTCTCTGTGCCCAGTTCCACTGCCGCAAACGTGGGGACCCCATCGGGCCCCTCATGGGGGGGGGGTGAAACGTAGGCTCCACGCGCAGTGTGCGCCCTGCGAGGTCTTGGGAACTGCCCAGGGACACATGGGGGGCTGTGCGGCCAGCGCAGGGGGTGTCCCCGGGCTTGAGGCCTTGGAGGAGGGCCGGCCTGGAGGGAGGTGTGGTTCCCGTGTCCATCTGCTCCTCTGGGTCCCAAGGTCTCCGGGCTGACCACCCGGGTTGCCATGGACACACCGAAGCGCGGGGAGGAGACGGCATCAGCCCCCCAACCTCCCCCGCCCCTCGCCCCCGCCCCCCAAGCCGGCAGCCGCAGGCCAGTTCACACAGGGGCCCCCGGGGGGCTGTTCCAGCACCTGCGTCACCTCCGTGTCTTCCCCAAAGGCCGAGCTGGCAGCAGGGAGGAGCGCTCCTCTGCTCGCCCTACAGCGGCCTCTCCTCTCCCCGAAGGCAAAAAGCCCGCCTGGCCGGGGCCCCGCTGCTGACACGGCGAGGAGTCCTCGCCGGCCCTGGGCCGGGGCCTGCGTGGTGCGGGCAGGCTTTCCGGCCAAAGAAGAATGAGAGACCCAACGCCCGCACGCCAGAGCCAGACCTGCGGCTCTCCTGACAGCCCGGAGGCCACACAGCCCCCCTCGGACTGACGTGACCTCTGACTCAACCAGCCAGTGTTTGGGGCTGAGTCTGCTCCTCCCACTCAGTGCCTTTCCGCCCCCTTTCCTCTGGGAGCCCCCCCCCCATCAGCCTGACCTTTATTTATTGTCCTCCCTCCACCCCCCCACCCCCACCCCCGCGGTTATTTCCAGCTGCCTCTGGCCTTGGACAGGGCTGGATGGGGACGTGCACTGCAGTTTCTGGGGTCCCAGGCGGGCTTCCTCTTCGCTTTTCCAGGGGAGAAGCCCAGCCCTGAGCCTTACCCTCCAGAGCTGAGCTGGGCCCCGAGCCCAGAGCAGGGGGTGAGGGAGGCCCCTTCCCTCTGCTGGGCCCCGGGGGGAGCACACCCTCCCCTCGCTCAGGGTGGCTGGAGCTGCTGTTGGGAACTGGCACTGTGGTTTCCCAGAACCCCTCCTCGCCCCCCCTCTACCACCACCACCACCACCACACACACACACACACACACACACACACACCCCGCTCCCAGCCCCTCCCTCCCCGCGCGGAGCTGGGAAAGGCTCTGGAGAAGTCGCTCCCTGAAGAGCAGCCTCCAGCCGCTCCCCAGCTGGGCCCCGGCTCTGAAGCCATTAATTCTCCACTCAGTCAGTTCGCTTTGGCGTGAAACATACTTAATTCAAAGCACGGGTAGATGCTTCTGGAAAACCCTTCCCGAAGAGAGAGAGAGGAGAGAGAGAGAGAGGGAGGGAGAGAGAGAGGGAGAGAGGGAGAAAGAGACTGTGTGCGTGGGTGTTGTCTGTACCCTCCCACCCTCCCTCCTGCCCCCCTGCCCCCTCCCCAGGCCCTCGGGCCCCCACCACTGCCCCCTGTGACAGTTATGCTTCGGAATACAAATAAAGATTAGGGATTGCACTGGGCCGTGTGTTGATGGAGAGAGACCACAATCGATGCGCATCCCTCGTACACGCCCGCTTTCGCGGCTCCCCAAGATGTCTGCGGAGAAAGCCCGCCGAGCCCCAGCCCGAGCCCATTCCTCTGCAGAATGCCCCGAAGGCTCGGAGCTGGGGGGCCCGGGGCCCTCAGGCGGCAGCGCAGGGTGCTGTGCAGACAGTGCTGCGTGGGAGACATGGTTAGGTCCCGAGTCCCCGCTCCCAGCCGCATGGCCCTGCCACTCCCGGACCCTCGTAGAAGACAGTGATGAACGGGGAGACGCTCAGCCCTTCCCCGGCCTACACCCCGCCCTCCGCCCAGGCAGGACGCTGTGGACGGTCCTCTCTGGGACACTGACCAAAGGGAGAAGCTGGGCAGAGCCTGGCGTTGGCCAGTCCCTCGCCTCCGCTCTGTCACCCTGGTGAGGCCCCGGCACTGGCCCTGCCCGGAAGCAGAGCTCCGGTTAGCTTTGCTGCGCTGCCCTCACGCCGGGAACAGCCAGGGCACCGACCCCTGGCCAGAACCAGCACCCAAATCACAGGCCCCGGGGCACGGACGGAAGGGGTCCGGCACAGCCTCTGCAGATGGCCACCGGGAACCGGGAAAGGGATTCCTCTTAAAGCTCTTCGGAGTACAGTGCAATAGCACCAACTTAAAAACGCGCTAGAAGGATGGGAGGCGAGAGAAAACGCCCCAGTGCATAAGACACAGAAACAAAGATGTGAAGGCGGGAGAAGAAAACGCCAAGAAAATCGGACCATCCAAAGGGAGGAGCTGTGCAGAAGGTCCCACGTCCGACTAAGAGAAATCTCAAACCAAGAAACGAAGCACAGGAGAGAAAGCGGTCGAAGAAATGATCCCCAGTATGTCCTGGGACAGAAGGAGACCCGCTGCCGGGAGACAGCCCACCAGGTGCTGGCAGAGTGGGCACAGGGACGCGGAGCCACAGCCGTGTGGGCGCCCCCATGGCGGGCACCGCAGGCAACGCCGGTGGACGAAGAGCCGCGTGGCCTGCAGCGCAGCGGGCCGCCCCTCCCCCGGGTCTCGCTGAAACAGATTCTAGCTCACTCCGGAGGTCAGAGGTCAGAGGTCGGGGTCAGGGGTGTCTAACCTGCTCCAGGGGATGCCCCGCCGCTGGCTGGAGGACCAGCTGTGGGTAGCGCGGGTCTAGGGCAGCGGTTGTCAGCGCTGGCTGCTCCTGGGGGTCACCTGGGGTGATACAAGCACTCTGGCCGGGCTCCCCTTCCCTCGCCCCCCCCCCCCTCTGAGATTCTGGTTTACTCGCTTTGGGCGCAGCCCTGACATCGGGGGTTTTAACGCTCCCCAGGTGACTCCAATGGGCTGGCAGAACCTAGAACCATCGCCCTGTGGAAGCTTTCCTACTGGGCTCCACATAGGCATGGGATGTTGGGAGAGGACCTTCTCGTTAGCAAGAAGTGGAAACAGCCCAAACACCAGGGACAGAAGACTCCTGTCTGATAAAGATGTAACATGCAAGTGGTTGTTACGCCTTGACGCATAACGGCCGACTGACCCAGTGACAACCAGGTCACGGATCAGCAGGAGGGTGGGGCGGAGAGCTGCAGGAGGGGGCAGGGCAGCGAGCTATGAGGGGGCATGGGGGGTGGGGGAGCTACAGGAGGGGGCAGGGCAGCGAGCTATGAGGGGGCATGGGGGGTGGGGGAGCTGCAGGAGGGGGCAGGGCAGGGAGCTATGGGGGGGGATGGGGGGTGGGGAGCTACAGGAGGGCAGGGCAGCAAGCAGACATCTACTGGAGGGCGGCAGTGAGCTACTGGCGAGCTCCCGGTGCTCGGATTCGTGCTCAGGGCTCCTAGCAGATCTGTACCTGACACAGCCAAGCAACAGGCCTTCGTGTGGAGACGAGCATGAGGGGCCACACGGAACAGATGACTCACACGCCAAGCACAGAAACAGACGGCAGAGAAGCAAGCCATCGTGACGCCGTCTATTTAGCGATCGTTAAACACACACAGTGCCACACATTGCCATGTATTTTGTGCGGTGGAAGGATAAAGAGATGCGCACGGAGGATAAACAACAGATTTCCAGATACACAGTGGGAAGAAGACATGTCATCAAGGCGGGCTTTCGGCTGTAATCGATGTTCTCATAATCTCGGTGCCGAGTAGGTGGGTCTGTAACACACAGATTATATTGTACGTGTTTTACAGGGGCGGGCACAAAAGTAGGTTTACTGCTGTTTGAATGCGAAATAATACGATAATTTAATAGGTAATACAAGAATAAACTCTGTTTGGCCCTGGTTGGGTAGCTCAGTTGGTTAGGGCATTGTCCTGATACCCCAAGGTTGAGGGTTCGATCCTAGGTCAGGGCACATGCAGGAATTAACCAATGAATGCATCAATAAGTGGAACAACCAATCAATGTTTCTCTCTTTCTCCCTTCTTCTCGCTCAAAAAATCAATTTAAAATAACAAAAATAATAAATTGTTACGTGTACTCACAACTGTAAACCTACTTTTGCTTACTCCTGTATTTATTACATTTGTGTTATCTTTATATGAGTGAAATATTGCAAAATAAAAAGTTTAAGGAATTAAAGCAAGCCTTATCATAAAATTTCAGGACACCAGGGTAAAAAATCCTAAAAGGTAAAAAAAAAAAAAAAAAAAAAAGTCCAAAAACCTTCCGAAAAGAAAAAACACAGGTCCCATGCCAAGGATCGGAGATGAAAACGGCGCTGAGCTCTCACAGCAGACCCTGCAGCCCGAACACGGCGGGGCAGCATCTTCTGGGTCGCTAACCGAGATCGACAGCCAGCCCCGTCTCAATGGCGGGAGGAGGAAGGCAGTTCCAGACGCGGGTGTTTATTTTTTCAATGGGCCGCCCATGCCTTCTCTCCCGGGCGGCGGCCAGAGGACACGCTCCAACCAAACGGGGGGAAACGCAGGAAAGAGAACCCGGGGGCCCAGGCACTGGCGACCCGGCACAGGAGGGGCCAGGCACACAGCAGAGGCTCTGCTGGGAGAGCGTCTGTGATTTCACGATGTGTTACCGTGTATCATGGTATCTATAATAATAAAAGCGTAATATGCTAGTTACACTGGACGTCCTTCCGGGGGACGACCTTTCAGAGGAGTCCCCGGGGCCAGAGGGAAGCCGGTGTCACTGGCCAGAGGAAGGAAGGCCTACTCTTGCACAAATTTCGTGCACTGGGCCTCTAGTATAACATATAAAACTGAAAGAGCAAGAATCGGCAGGAGATGCCAACATGAAGGTACACACCAGCGGACGTGGCTCAGAGTTCTAAGGGTGCCTAGAGGGGGACTTGGGGGATGGGGAGACGGGGGATTGCCACCCTTCATCATAAACTCTCTAGGACAGTTTTAAACTATCTACTACGTTACATTCGAACAAGGAGGTATTTTTTCATGGAAAATACATATCACACTCAGGATAAACCCTGGGGCGGAGGATGTGCATTTTTTAAAATATATTTTGATTGATTTCAGAGAGAGAGAAACATCACGGATGAGAGAGAATCGTGGATCAGCTGCCTCCTCCACGCCCCCTCCCGGGGACCGAGCCCACCACCCGGGCATGTGCCCTGAGCGGGAATCGAACCGTGACCTGCAGGTTCATAGGTGGACACTCGGCCACGGAGCCACGCCAGTGGGCGCGGATGTGCATGTCTAAGTTCCCAGGGGATGCCGGCGTTCCCGCTCAGGAGACCACAGGAGGACCCTGGCCTGGCGCGAGCACTCCAGCTGCACGGCCGGCGGGGAGGACTCAGCTGGCAGAGACCACGCGGCCCGCAGGCCGAGGGGACCGGCGGAGTCCTGCTGCTGTTGTCTCTCCGCGGACCGACGTGCTGCCCAGCTGTTCCTGAGGCTGAACCCACCGCATCCGCAGGCCCAGAGGTGAGAGCCACTAACCCCCCAAAGGTGGGGCTGCCATCTTTCCCGGGGAAGGAACAGCCCAGCTCTGGCACTGCTTTTCGGGGTCCCCAGAGCCTGCATCGCTGTTCCTGCCTGTTCCTGCCTCTCAGTGAGCTGTCCCCCCAGGGCAGGGCGCTGTGGGCCGTGGAGAGGGACGCTGCGGTGAGGAGCGGGCCCGCCGAGGATCCAGGCAGCTCCTCCCTGGCCGCCTGGGGCCCTGCCTCCTCCACGCCCCTGGGCCAGGCCGGCGTGAGCCGCAGTGGGTTGCTACGTAATAAACATACTGGCCACCATTATTT